TATTTTAAACAAATTCACATAGTATTAAAACCGAACCGTTACTTTTGAGAGTGAAAGAATGCACTTATACGTTACTTGAACTGACGCCATTGAATTCAAAACTCAAGTGCATATTAATTCTTAATTTTATTATATATTAATAATAAAATGATATAATATTATACCCTTATGCTTACCCTTATCCCGTGCCTGAGAAATAGAAAGACCTTTTATTTATTTATTTAGAAGCTGAAATTATGAAATTATCATGTAGAAAAAGGTCCGTTGAGCTTGGTTTAGGTTAGAATCTGTTTCCTTAAAATTTTTTAGAAAATTTCTGAAACTCTTCTTGAATTTATCACCGGAAGCTGCAGAGCCAGGTCGGAGCTCAGCCGGAATCCAGTGATTCCGCCGGCTTCTGGAAATTGTCCCGTGCCTACTTTTTTTTTTTCCCTTTTTCTCCTTTAATTTTGGTGGACTGGGCTCTGTTTTCTTTCTTTTCTTTTCTTTTCTTTTTTTTTTTTTTTGGGGGTTTTTAGGCCGAAAAACAAGGGAAAAGATGTGAAATGGGCCAAAACCCTAACCTATTGTTGACCCAACAAAAAAAAATGGTTTTTTTTTTAAATTAATTTTTAATACTTAATTAAATTGATTAATATTAATTGATCATAATTAATTGTTTTAATTGATTCTAAATTAGTTTAATGAATGTTTTAATCAAGTTAATTAGGATTTAATTAAGATAGTCAATTTTCTTTAATTAATTTGATTACTTTAATACAACATTACCAAAATATGCATAAAAAATTTACTTATTTTAAGGTAATTAAAATATATTTTCACACTTATTTTATTTTAATTACCTTAAAGTAAGTTCACTGATTATTGTTTTATTTGATCTTGCGATCGTAGCACAACAATAATATGATATGGAGATGGAGAAAAGTGTTTGAGAAATAATAATTTTAAGGCAATTCAATATGTAAAACAAAATTGAAACATTTGCCACCTCGTGTAAGTAAAATAAAAAAAAAATTGATTTTCTTGAATATGTATGATCCAAGCATGTGTGAATTGAATTCTTTAGTTTTGCTGAAAGTACATGCAAGCATGTCTATGTCTAGCAATTTGTAAGGTTTATGTTGCTAGCTAATGGTAGTGATTAATGTCATAGTTATTCTTGCATCAGATGAGAAATTTTCAACAGTTAGGAGAAAAAAAAATGTTAAGACATTCTACATGCAATTTTTAATATCTCCCATTATATATGCATTCATATATATATATATATATATGAATACGTGATTAATTTGACGAAGAAATACATGACTGTTGATGATTATTGATTTATTTGTAGTGTTGATCTATTATTTAAGCATATTTATATGAATGGCTATATCACTACTAGAAATTTAATTTTTTTCAACCAATTATTTTCCAATGCAATTTGTGTAAAATAATATGCTATTTGATGAGTTGAATTTGTATACATATTAATGTGGAATTGTTGCCTTGATATTATTGATATTTAGATGAGTTTTATGAAATTTTACATGGTTCTCATTTTTTGTGTAGAAAAAAGCTTGAATGCATAAAAATAAGAGCCTTTGGGATTAATTAAACATCTTTTGAAAGTTGAGGGACTGAATTGCAAGAAGAAGGGCGGCTGTTTGGGACTTAAATAAATGAATATTGAGTTTTGGGATCTAAATGCTCATTGTGTGAAAGATGGAAGACCGGATCTGCCATTTTACCATTGAAGAAATTGCAAAGAGAGACCAGAAACTCGACATGATTTCAGTGTCGACACATAATTGGGATGTCGACACCATGCGTTAAACGTTCAGAATTAAACTCTGTTTCTTGTTTTGTGTCAACATATAATTTGAGGTATCAACACCATGCGTTCAGCATCCAAATTTCAACTTTTCTATTCTGTTCCAAATCCTACTTCTATTCCAATTAAAGTTTTTAAAATCTTATAAATGCCCATCTAAATTTAGAATTAAGAGCTTTGGGTAGAGGCTGGTGGCAACCCTCTTTTGGGCATTCTTGGAGTCAAGATAGATGATTCATCGACAATAGAAGATTAAGGAGTTTGATTTTCTCAAATTAAGTTTTGTTTTTCCTTAAATTTTTATCTATTATTTGATATTTGAATCTTCATAACTATGATTTCATATTTTTATTATTTTTATTATGAACTAATTTATTTTATTAAGGCTAAGATATAACCTAATCAATTCAATATAGATTTTGTAATTTTATATTTTCAATTAAAGTTCTTTGCATGAGAAATTTATATTATTGAATTTAATGCATTGGAAGCATGTTCACCTTTCGATTGATTTAGTGATTTATGCATGAATTTGAGAAAGAATTGCGTAAATTAGATCAATAATAATATGAACCTTGTGTTAGATTATGAGAGCGAGAGATAATTAGTTCACATGTGGTAGTGGAGGAAGAGAAGAGAGTTAGTAGCTCCCCTTTTTAAGTTAGAGGTTCCAATAGAATTTAATACTCATTAGTTTGTTTAAAATTGCATAGATATTTGATTAATTTGACAAACAACTGAAGGATTAACTTGACTTGAAAAAACTGGTTAATTAATTTAAGAAAATCTGTTATCACATATAATAACACTTAATAATTTGATAATCCAGAATTTATATTGATTGATTATGGTGAAGTCGATACCTTAGTATCTTATATCTTAATTAGTTTTATTTTAATTGTTATTTTCCTTTTTATTCTTTATTAAAGCTTATTCTCCTTTTTTATTCTTTATTAAAGCTTATTCTCCTTTTTTATTCTTTATTAAAGCTTATTCTCCTTTTTT